AAAAAAAATTGAAAACTTAAAATGTCCGTAAACAGCTCAAAATATTTTGAAAATGTTATGGTGTATAGAAAATGTTAATATAAACATTCAGTCAAAATTTCATGTACCTACGGTAATTAGTTTAAGAGTTACACCAAAAACCAAGACCGATTTTTTCGAAAACAGATTTTGTGTAAAAATTCCCGTTTTTCCTTAATTTTTCTTTTATTTTTCACGGCGCTTTTGAAAACTACTGAGAAATTTTTACTTTTGACCCCCAAAGTACCAAATAGATTCCCTTTCTTATCAGAAAAGATACTGTTGAAGAAAATCTAAGCGTTTTTACTGTCTTAAAACGTTATGACAGATACAAAAATTAAAAAAAAACCACACATCATTGTAAAATCAATACAGTCATCGCTTCACTCAGAATCTAAAATAATTTAAGGGGTTGTTGGATAAAGGTTTTAACTCACAATTTTGAAATTATTCAGGATTACAGTTTTAGTGGTTTAATTATATAGACGTTTTAAATTTTTTAACTGTTCAAATGCTAAGAAGTTTTTGAAAACAAAAATGATGTATTTTAAAGTTATAAACAATGTTCTGAAATTTTATAAATTTATCTGCTTATATGATCATAGGGGATATAATACAATAACACCTTAATCCACAAAACAATAACCACAGATTGTATAAATATTCAACACCTTTGACCTTCATCAATTTGATATCTCCATAAATATATGTTAGAACTTATAGTGTACTGATATTTGTATAGCTTATGTCTTACGTCATGATGCATCATTATGTATAATACCTATAATAACGATTTTACAAATTCTCGTTAAAAGTTCTTGTTTTGTGAATTAAGGTGTTATTGTATTATATCCCGTATGGTCATATGAACAATACAATTTATAAAATTTCAGAGTATTGTTTATGACTTTAAAATACATAATTTTTGTTTTCAAAAATGTCTTAGTATTTGAACAGTTAGAAAGTTCCAAACGTTTACATAATTAAACCACTAAAACTGTCCTCCTGAATAATTTCAAAAATGTTAGTTAACACCTTCATCCACTAAAACCTTCAATTGTGGTCAGGTACTTGAAAAGTTCCACCAAATAGGTATTTTAATAGGTATGTAAGTATTTTAAAATTTTAAATACACGGTGTAGTTTGTCTCTTTTTGAGATATTTATAGATATTTTTAGATTCTGAGAGGAGCGAGAAAGCTAGTGGTTTTACAATGGTGTTTATTATTTTTTTTTATCTTGTATACAACATTTCTACCAGAAGATTTCAGCATAGTATCTTATTCATTAATAATTAATAAATAGGATCAATCTGGTACTTTAAAGAGGTAATTTTTCGATTTTCTCAATAGTTATTTAATGCCACGGATAAAATCAAATACAAATTACCAAAAACCAATATAAAAACGGTATTTTAATATCTATCACTTTGTTTATTAATTATGACCATTGAAACGAATAAAAATAACGATTTTAGTTATTGTGATTTATAATAATAATTCAACTTACAGGCTATAATAAATAATAACAATTAACAATATAAAATATCTAGACTGACAAACCGTCTCAGCTCAGAATCGTTTTTAGGATACAATGATATTATATCATTGAATTCAAATTTAATACAATCCATCAATCCATTATACTGCGACAAACTTGTAACCTACTGAACAGCAGAGTGACATCCATTTAGGTACCAGTTTTTAGTTTTATTTCTACAAATATGGATAAAAGCTTAAACATTTAATACAAAGTTCTTCATAAGTACCTAATTCATATTGAAACCTTAAAATCTAAAAAAAAAATATAAAATATACTACATGTTTTGTATGTAATATAGACATTAGAAGATTACATTTTGACGGAATTTGATTTGTATTTAAACGAAAAACAATTATTATTTTGCTGTAATTCAAAAATAATTTTCGTGGAGATTTGAATCTTTTAAGCTTTACGCATTTTATTATATTGTTTATAGATACAAAATTACATGTTCAAAACATTTAAAAATTAAAATAAGGTTATATACTATTGCCTATTTAACCATAAATATATTTACACCATTCTACTGTAAGTTGGTATTGACTCAAAAGTTAATAATAATATATTATAGGTATAAATATAAATATTAGGCTTATACTATTATAACAATAATTAATAAAATATGCCAATTTTTCATCAACAATTATTTCAACCTATCATTTTACTAATAGTAAAATGTAAATAGTGAATATGAAAATTAAGTGACCGGTTGCTTATCCTATTATAGAAAATTGAAAAAAAAATTGTTAATGGATTTAATTTTTTCAACATTATTATAATTGTACATAGGTATATGTATATAATAATAAAGTATTTTCTACGTTCGTGAAGTTGGCAACCCCACATGATCCCACAGACTTCAAACTGGTATCAAAATTTTGAAATTTTTATCCAATTAATTGCATGTCTCTCCAAAAAATTTGCAATTCATCGTAAGGCCCGTAAATTCAAAAATAATTATGATTGGGGGCAAGTTCACGCCAAGTTCAAGGCCCCCCACACAGATAATCCGAAACAAGCACAGTTAGTAAGCGGATAAATAGCAAATAGTAGTTAATCTATTATTGAAGTTGTCGAATTTTCCATGTAACCTGTAATTGGTATAAAAATAATAATAAACATAATTTTTTTTTAAATATACTAGGTAACTACAACTAAAATTACCATAAGGTAGGCTACACAACCCCTATGGTCTCACTGACTTCAAACTGGTATTTAATACTAAACATGTAACGAAAATTAACTAATTTGAATAGTTGGCGTAATGTACCATCTAAGATGAATCTAGCAGATCATGCTTCTAAGGATCTGTATAACCATACATTTAAGTGGTAGGTGCTAGAATTCCTTAAAAAGACCGACTTATACCAATACTGCCGAGGTAGTAATGACTCCTAAAGTATGTCAACACGAAGAAGTAGAAGATTTCCCAAAATATTAAAAGTAATGTACCTACCTACCATAATCCTATACAGACTACAGTAGAATCCATTAGACCTTTGTTAGCCCAAGTGTAAATTTTTTTTTGGAAAGGTTTTTTCTGAAAGTATACATTACATTATAACATTTAGGTATCTGGGAGGTAGAGTTAAACTTTCTAAGACTTTGCCTCATGGATCATGTATTTAAGTATAAATAGTTAAATACTATATTTTTCCGGTGACAGGATCAACAGACTTAACTCCAGACTTCTAGTTGCCATGTCTTTCAATCCAAGTGACTTCAAAACTCTTATCGCTGGACACTTCCTCACAAAGGGACCATTCTTCACCTTACTATCACATCAAGTATCCATTATTCCTAGTGCTTTCATTAGCCAAAGTGAAAGATGGACACTCGTACAGAAATTCAGAACCTCTTGAAAGTCTGGTTGCGGTAAAAAATATAATATTTCTATACATCCCAATTGGTCTCGTCAAAGCTAAAATGTTCAGAAAAACGTTTTAGGTAGGTTTAAGTACCCATCCCCACCACTCACTTGGACTACTCAACAAGTAGTCAAATTGCTCCTTGGCACATATGGAGTCGTTATAGATACAAAGATAAAAATGGCACAGGGACAACTTCTTACCTGGCTGCTGTGAGGATTTGTCCACTACCATTGAAAGATTAAAGAAGCAACTCTTCAAAGCGGTTGATCTTTCAGCATAGCACTTGCCGATATGCTGGTGTTGATAACGCACTAACCAACACTTCTGACGAATCATATTTACACTTTTGCCACCACGTTTACCACAGTATATCTTAAAACCATGTAGTTTTCAAATCCTCTTAGAAATGGGGGCTATTTTGGAGCGATTGGTGTAAACTTGGAAATTATAAAAACTTGTTCGATACTAATTTTTAAAGTATAGTATAACATGGCCATGGATGGGTTACATGACGTTCCTTACCCTATCAATTTACACTATAGTAAGTTTGTAATTTAAGATTTGTAAATCTTAAAAACTAACTAGCATATTCTTTTAACCAACAACTAAAATGTAGTGTTGATTTGAAATTCGAGTATAATATAATATATTATACTAGCTGAACCCGTTGATTTCGTTGCCCATTAAGTGTACCAACTATATGTGACTCAAACTTTGTTCAATTCGTTATTTAATATTCGGTGTATGGTTTCAAAATTAATCTTAACTTTTCCGTTGCCTGGAATAAAAATTCTGATTCGCTGCAGTACATTATCAGGTAGGCAATCTACCTGCTTTAGATCGTGGACCCCGTGCTGTATGTAAGTTAGTGTATGATTTAACTCTAAAGTATCAAAGTTATACCAAGTTTATGGTTTTTATTTCATTCCACCTAACCTAACCTTACTAAAATCAGATGAATAAAAAAAAATGAATTTAACCATTTTTAAATTAGCCAATATTGAATCTACACACAAACATTCAATTTGATATATATATATATATATATATTGACAAAAAATAATAATACAAATCATCAAACATGCCCGATTAACCAATACCAACCAAAATATAATACACTATTATTATTATTTTTTTTTTTTAACCAGGTGTGCACTTAAGAGGCCATAACTCCGGAACGACTAATCGCACAGCGTACAAACTTCACAAAAATCATCTATATATCAATCCTAATATACTCTGAAATTTTTATCAAAATCGTTTTGGTTAATCTGTAGTTATAAAATTTATTCAAAATATACACTTATTTATATATATTATTGTTATAGTATAATATAATACATATACAATTTTATTTTTATATTACTGCACATTTTAATATAATATAACAATTATAATTTTAGAATTCTAATATTTCTGATTAATATTTTCATTTGCTACAAAAAGTAATTGAATTACCCATCTCTTTAACGTAACACGTAGTATTATTTCTACTTGTAAAACGTACATACTGTTGAAATATAAAAAACAAGTTGAATGTTTGAAATAGTGTATTTTTATGATTTTTAGTTTAGGCTGATAAACTAAGTAATACTGCTGTTGCTCGTTTTATCCAATACTCTGGAGGTTCTAATCCACTATCAAGGTACATCATTATTATAAACGATTCTCTTCCTTCTCCACATCGCGAAGGGTAATAATATATAGGGCATTGGTAGAAATCTAAAAATGAGTAAATATGTTATGTATATAATATGCATAAAAATACACGAGTTTTTAATGACTAAATACTTCTTGCTACTTTTGCACTGTCTATGGGCTTAAAATGTATAACTGGTAAGTTGGAAATAAATTTTAATGGTACTGATTCACACAAGCATGATTTTTTTAAATTCCAATCAGCCCCTTCTAAATAAAGATCTCGTACGTAAACTCCATCCTAGAATAAAATAATTTAAAATATTTATTATTTATTATGTAAGATGCTTGTTTAATGTTGTAATATTATCATACTATCTATGATTACTTTTGGAGGTAATGATTCTCTTTCTGGTAGTATAGGAATAAATTCCCAATATAGTAAATCTATTGCTATATTCGAACTTCTTGAATAAATCTAAAACATATTTTTTATTGCCATCAATAATTGTTAAAATAATATATTAGTATTATTTCTATTAAGAAACAAAAAATATTTACCTGTAGTACAGCTGTCAAAAAAGTAATTGGGTAAGTATAGGCTCCCAACCAAAATAAAACCGGTGGGTGAGTTTTGTTTGCCCAAGTTTTAAAATGATTGATTCTTTCTATTAAATCTTGAGTCCATGGTCCCAGGGACATTAACGAAGGATATGCTAAATGGTTTTTTTTTTAATGTATAGGTATATTCATAAATAATGTATTATGTGCAAGTGTCATCATTTAATATTACCTTTGAGCCATTGACCAGGAACTCTACCTTCATTTATAAACTGAAATATATTTTCAAGATCAGATGACATTACTGCCAGCCCCTTGATGCCTTTTTTTAGGCTAACTAATGACGTTTTAATTTCGCTCAATAAACTATTATAATGTTGTACCTACAAAGACCAATTATTTTTTAAAATATATATTTTATAACTAAATTTAACTGACGTGTATCGGGTAAAAAATTAATATTTTTTTATTTAAAGTACCTAATAATTATGTTAAGAGGATGTCGTACCCGCATTTGTTGTCTCCGTATTAATAACGGCATAACATAGCAAATTTTATGTTTAGAAGATTCTTTTTTACTCTGTTATTTGTTAAACTGGATTAAATTGATACATTTTAAATGTAATAACGGACCCCACATAGGGGTTTTTGATGTTTTAATTTTGATGCAAGTTGTGAGCATTTTAATTTTGTACATTGTTTTATAAATACGACATTCTCTGAGTTGAATTTAGTTTTTAATTATTTTGGAAGTAAATAGAGATTTATTATCATTAAGTAGAATACCTCTTGTAACAGTACAATATCCAAGGGGTTCCTTTTAATATTTTTTGCAGTAGTCTCATAATCTATTAATTCAGGTAGTTTTTTCAGAATTTTACTAGATAAATCTAAAACTTTGCCTTCAGAATTTTCTTCAGCCACTGTTGATGATTGTCCTTGTAAAATCATTAGAGCATCGCAAATTATACGATTTTCTCCCATCAATGAAGCCATCTCAGCATTAGAATGTTGTCCAAATATTTCGGGGCTATCCACGATTGGTAATGTATCAATGTAATTTCTGTACATATGAAGATCTCCATCTCTTGGTATAAAATAAGTTGACAACGGAGATAACCTTAAAATCCATAATAATATTTTTTAATTTCTCTATTTCAAATAATGTATTTCATTTTTAGTCAGTTTTTAAAAAAATGCCTACTTCATAAACGTTATATAGGATTTATATTTAAAATTCCTGTGGTAGTGTCACAATTTCTGAGAATTTTTTTAAAATAAATTATAATAAATCAAATCGTATCCAATATTTTAAATCATGTACTTACTCTGATTATATTATTTTACATAATATGTAGAATAGTTTTTTTTCCAATTAATTTATAGTTAAGAGTGAATTTAATTTAGAAATTTTCAACTGCTAATAAAAGCATTTTATATAACGATTATTATCAAAAAAAAAAAAATAAATTATAATGTTCAAAAGAAATGACAAATACTTTAAAGTTTAAACCATAATATATCAACATGTTTAACTGGAATATTCTTTTGAAATACAAACAAGTCCTGTGTTAAGAATTAACAAGCAAGCACTCGATCATATCACGCTATTTATAGAAACTTATAGGGTTTTAAAATAATTCATTAAAAAATATTGTGCATTGCTAATAAATGTGTTTAATAAGTTTCAATTAGTAATATTATACAAATATAAAAAAAATTAAAAATTAAATACATAATGCTTTAGTTCTTCTAAATGATAATGTTTATTCATAGTATTTTAATTGATAAATGACATATGATTTTGTAGACTTTTGCTCTTACTTGCACATGAATTATTTTTAAGCTATAATTTATATAGAAACTATGTACCTAATTTCATAGAAACTACTGAGGATAGGCCAAAGTAATTAAAGTACATTTTAAGTATCTACTATTAAATCGTTTATAATACATCATATTTATGTATACCTACACTGTTTTTAATAACTTATATTGATTACCTATGTATTCCTTGTAAATAATAATTGTATTTTTATAAAATATTACATTTATGCTAGGTATTTATATTGGTTATACCTAAAATAATTCGATTAAATAATTTATTATACTTGAAATGTGGCGTTGTAATTGCATCCTCATTAAAATATTGACCAATATAGGTATCTAAGAGTCTTCTGTCCATGTTATCAGTAACATGACCACCGTAACAAATTCCAGCAATCAAATATTTTAAAGCTTTCCAAGGAGTTTCTTCATATTCATCCAAATATATGGATAGCAAATTTTCTGATACCTATAAAATAAAACGAAAAATAAAGTTTAAACTATAATATTTTATATTATATTACATATAGGTATTAGATTCCTAAGCTAATAAAATATTTAAAATATAACCCGATATAATATTATTTACCTCAAAATCGGAATCATTAAAACTGTAAATTACGTTCCAGCCAAGATTTTGAAATTTTTTTCTTTCAATTAATATTGAATGAAAAAAGCAAAGAGAAAATATTAATTTTTTGTATTTTTCTTGTGAACGGCATTTATCAAATTGTTCATCTGTTAAATTTTGGTACAAACGTTTCATATTTGCTCTTAATCCCTGAGTACATTTAATATACAATCATTACATTTATGAATATTCTTTTATTTTTCTTAATTACTTTTGGTGGTTCGGTTGTCATTTTTATAGCACTTTGTAATAAAGCGATAGGAAAATCAGGATTAGGATTTGAACTTAACCACAGCCTGAAATCAGGGTGAGATTTACCATCTTGCATAACATCAACTATTTTATCTAGCTGTGGCATCCATGATAAAGAAAGATGACAATTGGCGAGGAATATCCACTTTCCTGTTTGTTGACCTTGTTCAATTAGTCTATCAAAATAAATAGATGTTATTAGTTATTACAAATTAAATTTGATTTCTATGTGATATTACTGTGTTGCAACTAATGATTGACCTTGACCCAGAGATAGAGATTCATAATGCATGTTGGTACTTGTAGCCAAACCAACTAATGTGTTAGTTGGATCCACTCCAGGAGATAACAAAAATATTAATGGGGTTTTGCAACTAGAATCTTCTAGAGCACTTTTAACATCCATAACTGGTGGTTCTATATACTTAGAACCCAGTTCATTGGAAATAAAATTTGTAATTGCAAATGATAATCTGTCTAATCGCAAAGATCTTACAAATAACATTTTTTGAAACGAATTGGTGTTCTCATTCCATTTACCTATTATATACATTAATCGTTTGAACTGATATATTAGTAAACATTAGTTAAAGAAATATTCACCAATAAGATTTGTTGATTCCGGATTTGAAGATATATACCATTGTTTCCATTCTCGAGAGAATTGTTCAAATGATTTTTCTACTCCAAGAAACCCTGGCAATTTGTTTAATTCGGATATATTATCCCAATTTGATTCTGACAACCAAGCTTTAAAAGAAAATGAATATTATATTTATTTAATTTTAGGTTAGAATAATTGTAACACACATACATGAACAAGGGTTTTCTGCCTGTTCTACTTTATTAACTACGATACCACCCTTTAAAAGAAACTCCATTTCATACGCTGGTATTAAGTCATCAGCCATTAACAAACTTATAATTATTTGAAATGAAAATAATAATTTGTGAACTTCGAACAATCCTCGGCAAGTATTTTTATAAACTGCATATGTGTGGTAAGCATTTAAATGATTTAATCTTTCGAAGAGTCTTTCATTTTTTTCACTCTTTTTTATTGAATTCTCGAATAGATTCATATAAGCATCCAATGAAAATTGATACATAGGATCGATTTGATTGAGTTCATTAAGAACAAAAAATAAAATTGATGCTCGTTTAGCACAAGTTCTATAACCCTACAAAATAAACAAATACTGAAATTAATTTTATAAGTCAATACAATTTTAAGTAATATGATCAATTAGTTATTAGTATTTACATATATATTTTTATTTAATTTAGTTAAAAATGTTTTAATGTAAAACATTGAATCATACCTCTCGAGCAACATCAATATCGATTTGAGTTGAAAAAGAAATTTCTAGTTGCTCATTTACTGTTACTGATGTAACTTTTGAAGAAGCTAATGTTTGGAAAAGTTCATCATTTTCTAACAGTGATCCCTCAATCTCATTGAGGAGTCTAAGTAGTTCATCTTCCAGTGCAACCAGTGTTTTTTTACCTTTATCGATGTTAATTATCAAATTATCTTTAAGTATTTTCAACTCTGGTTTTTCCATTGTGATCACAACGTCTAAAAGTTGGTCTTCAAGTCCTTCTTCTTTAATTGCAAAATTAACTACTGTTGTTCGTGTAAAAATTTCAGGAGGATAATGCGGGTTTCTTATTTTAGTGGTTATGAAAAATCTAAAATTGTCATTATATGGTAATTCCTTATCACCCATTTTAATAAAAAGTTGATTTCCTAAAAAAATTAATTGTTAGTGAATTTATTATACTTTTAAAATGTATAAAATCTTTAAATCTGGTACTTTGATAAAATATTAACCTTTTTCAATTATTGATTTTGATAAAACTGGCATCACTGAAGGATCGAGATGTTCAGAAGTTATTTGCAATAGTGTTGGATTTCCGTTTTGTAATGCCATTTCCAAAATAATCATGAAATTCGGTAAACAAAAATCAATGATTTTTAATTCGTTTTCGGCTTCCATGTTTTTTATCCATTTCAAAGCTTGACATTGTGGATCTATAATCAATGGCCATCGTGAGCCACGGCTGATAATGATACCATTTTCTGTACTTGAGTCATCGTTGGGTAAACCATGAATATTCCAGTTTCTTATAGTAGCCGGATCAGATAAAAAATCTTTATTGTCATATGCTGGATTAGTTGGAATTTTCATATCTTTTACTGAAGTTGTCCATAATTTAAAAAGTATATCTCTATACTTAAATAGAAATGGACCCATATATGAAACAAACGCTATACTCAGTAGACAATCGCCTGGTAAATAGTCAAAATATATATCTAATTGTTTTACAGTTTCAGTCCATCGTATTTTTTCGTTAGATAATCCTTCAATTAATGATGCTGCTCGATCAAGATTTCTTTTTAAAATATCTGCCTATAAATTAATTTCCACTTATCAACATTTCAATTTTAATTCAAAATTAATTTACCTTTTTGACCAGTTGTTCCTTTTCTTCCATTTTTATATCAAAATCATTTTTTAATTTCAATAACAGTTTTTGAATCTGGGATAATTTTTGTTGTGCAGTAAGTAATTCAGCTTGCTTTTCCTGAAGATCAGCCAGTGCAGCTTCTGCAGATTCTTTTTTGGGTGCTACAATTCTTATAATCGAAAAAATATTGTAAAAAATATTTATTCATGTATCATATTATATATACAATATTATATGTCATACTTGTAAATGATAGCATATTTTTCTATTGCGATGACCCACTGAGCAAGTGATTTAGCAGCTACTGATTGAGCTCCTACTTTATCAGGTTCAAACTCTGGATTTGATGTATACGCATTTATTTTTTTTAAAACTTTTTGTGACACATGATCTTTGTCAAAATCTTTTAGCTAAAAGTTTAATTTTGTATAATCTAAATTTATTTAACTTATTTCAATATTAAATTAACCTGCGTTAGGAAATTTGGATCTCCTAATTGTCTTTTTGCTTCATTCCAACTAGGTTCAGATTCTTTTAATATCATCACAGCTTCGAAAACTAATTTAACTCTATGTGGAGGTTTTGAAAAAGACTTTACTTCAGCAAGATCTTTTTTATTAAGTGCATTTAAAGCCTAAATAACAGGTACATATTAATAGTATTTAATAAATAATAATAGACAACGATTACAATAATTGTATGTTTTTTTTGTTATATTATTATTCACCTCCATAGCTTCCGATAGTGCAGGTAATGCTTTTTCTAAATCAATCATAGCCAGATTATACAACTCTTTACACACAATTTCTTCTTCTTTGATTTTAATGCTTTTAGCGTCAACTTCAATTTTTTGTTGGTCAGCTATTATTGTTTGCTTTGAAATAACTTCTAGAAATTGATCACATTCCACGGCATATGCCTGAACAATTTTAGTAGCTTTTTCTAAATCTACTGTCATTCCAGCAACTTTTTCACTGGTGTCGTCTATTTTGAACAAGCCATTTCTTAATTTATTCGAATTACTTGAAAGCTCAAATCGTTTCTTACGTAATGTTCTGTTTAAAACAACCAAATCGATAATTATATATAGAATAGGTTTAGACTTTTTTTTGCATACTCTTTATATCCAGTTACTAATTCCAAATAATTAGTAGGTGTAACGTAATTGTATCGCTTTAATTCTAAAATCATCAGCCTAGAATATTCTCCTACTGAGTGGTGAATAACGGCAAATAAATTTGCTATACATAATTTTAACTCACTCTATGAAATAAAAATACATAATAAATAAATTATCAAGCTAGTATTTGGTCCGGAGTATAAATTACCTCTGATAAAGAAACTGTGTCTACATCAAATACCTGGAAAATAAATTTATATTAAAGATCTTAATAACTGAAGAAATAAACAAAAGGTAATTTTATGAGTACAAAATATGTGTAAATAGCAATTTGTAATTGTAACCACAGTTATTTTTGGTTAATTTATGTAAATTTATCCAAACATTTTCCGAGTCCTAACTTAAGGCCTCTAACTTTAAAGGTGGGTCTTCTGGATACAATTATATTCCCCCCCCCCCATAGACAAAAACCTAAAAAGACACTGAATGGCTTAAAATAGTCTAAATATCATGTCATATAGGCTATATTAATTTTTGAGCAATAATAAAATAAAATAAAATTGGTTTTAGTACAAATTCCCGCTTTCCTTAATTTTTGAAGCTTAAATAATATATTATGAAAAGTATATATCAGTAATTTTTACTTTTGATTTTTTTGATATTTTAATTGATTTTAAACAATAATTTGAATTTAATACAATAATTTTATATTTTAAAATTTGTTTAGTTTTTTTTATTATTTTTGTAAATATTATTGAGAACATGTTTGATTCTCGGCATTATGATTTGAAAATGTAACTGATAGTTTTTTTTTAATAGTTTATCATACACAATTTACAAATATCGAAAATGAAAATGTCAAATTATTTTTGGATAAGCAGTTTTACTACATCACCTTTGATCGTAATTGTTTTTGTGTTATAAATGAGTTAACATTTAAATATTTAATTAAAATGTAATCCAATATTTTAGGTTTGGCCTACTTAGTGTTAAAGTGCATTCAAAACCTACTATAGTTAAACATGTACATATTTTATAGTACATATTATGCTAGTTCTACGTCTGTTAAATATTTGCAGACAAATTCAAAAAAATGTATTGTAATTGTAATTTCGTTAGCTTTTACTACAAAATATTTTCCATTCATTATTAATATCTATGAAAGGTATTTTGTACATTTAAATTTTTAATCTTACTCTTGGTACTCCAGTTATAGTTTCCAATACTTCTATTGTAGCAAGAGAGCTAAATGCCACCTCTAGTAAAGCTTCCTTAGGCCAATCCAAAAACCAATCAATTGTCGTACAATTTATCAATGAAGGATATTGACGCAACCTGGTTCTAATTTTGAGAGAAAAAAAACAAAAACAACATCAGTAAAATTATTTAATTATAAGCCTTATGTATAATATATATTAAACTTATTCTTAAAAAATATTTTTAATTTGTATTTAATATCTACCGATAAGTATATCAATTATAATATGGTTGGTCACTGTTTATGCCTAATATTAAAAATTCAGATAATTTCATAAGTAAAAAAGTTAATAAGTTAAAAAATATTTTTAATGAATCAATAAGTAAATCAAACTTACCGAAATTTGATTCCAATCGGACTTAGACATAGAATAATGTGTAGATTACTTCTGACGCGATCTAAGAAAAACGAATAAATGTCATCTGTTGTTTCTGGAATACCTTCTTTTTTAGCAGCAGGCGATAATTGTTCTTTAATCTAAAAATGTCAATAAAAAATTGCACCGTATTTCAACATTAATTAGGTATTCTAACCTCATCAAACTCATCTTCCTTGTACAGTTGTGGTACTTCACCAGTGCTTAGTATGTTATTTATGGTCTCCAAGAACATTTCATTTACAATTTGTGTGTCATTGAACAAAAATGAAGTTGGTTGATCCCTCACTCCTGTCTGATAGTACAGGCGTTTCAAGTCTTCTTTGAAATCTCCTATCCCATACGATTTATTTAATTCAATTGTAAACATTTTGTATTCGCATAGCCAGTTCGCAACTTTTGAAAGTGAGGTCCGTCCGGATCCACCTTTCAGAAAAATGATAGGAAATTCATTATATTATTAAAGCAGAAAAATAATGACGACTTGTAAACACTATACCAATGCCGACCAGCATTATATAGCCTCTTGGTTGGGATATAACTCTGACTATGCGACATATATGGTCGATGGCGTCCCTAAATAATACAAGATTCATGGTTATAACTCCAAAGCTTAAATTGTACTCTTTATTCTATCGTCGACAAATTCACGTAGATATTTTCGTCTGTAACTTCCTCGTACTGTGAATGCTTGTCAAAAATGACAGAATATTAGAACCTTGTTCTGATGAGCATAGACTTTCCGGGGTTTTAAGAGTTTCCCCCATATCCCATAATGTTTCCCGAGTTGAATATTGATTTGATCCATGAACCATTCTCGATCCCTGTAACGTGGTAATCAGAATTAATAAAATTATTAAATATACATTATTATACATTTTATTATTTTGAATAATTTACTTTTCGTCAATTAATTTGTCATTAAATACTCGGAACACTTCATTACACCAAAGCCGCAACATTGAATTGTCAGTTGTCTGGTAGTCAGTATTACTGCGCAACAGGCCTTGAATACCTACAATTTAAACTAACATCAGAAGACAGAATTGTACTCGTACATGTGTGGACAAAATTTAATTTATCATATACAGTTTAATCTGGCACGACTAAATCTTCAGTATATTTAAAATCAAGATTATAAGTATATATTGGTATTATACTAGTATATTTATTATACGATGAATGACGCACTTTAGAAATATCTCTCAAATTGAATAAATAGTGCATTTTGGCTGGTGTTGGAAGCAAGTTAGCTACTACACTTTTGTAAAGATTAATTGTCATATTGGTTAACCCGTTTCCTGCAACGAGTAAGAAAAGTGTCAACACAATGTAATATATCAGTGTAACATATTTAAATATCCAGATCATACTTAAGTTCCGTATATGTCCACAAATGATTTTTAGATGTTGGTTTAACATTGATACATAAATGTTTGATATTTGCGCTTCTTCGGGAAACGTCAAGTTTATCATGCTAAAGCAACTCAACAATCTGTTACTTATGGTGCTCCTTCCACTTCCAGGTGGTCCCATAGCACCGATCAACAGCATATTCTTCACGTACTTCAGTAATCTAGTCTGTCGGTCAAACCAAAACTCATAGTCTATCCACTGTCGAATCAGTTCTAGTGGTGCCTGAGCACCGTAAATTTCTTTTTCAGGCATATTCATGTCATCCAAAAATGTCACCAACGTTTTATCTTCATATATACAAATTAATAAAAAAATAAACAAAATTCCGTTAAAAATTGTGTATAGTTTTTAAGATGCAGAACATGTACACTTATTATTAAAAACAATTGGAGGTATAACATTATAATAGTTAATATAATATATTTAAATAAACAAGTTCGGAAAGCTCACACTGCGAGCTTGCTAAATTACCTGTTTTTTAAACATATTTTATACAATGCAATACATTATAGTTCCATATATAATGTATGTACGATGTACTTATACAGTAACTACAGACAATAAATAAATAAAAATGAAAAATCGAACCTAATGTTCTTACTACCTACCTACTGGTAACAACCGAATAGACAGACGATAATAAAATAATCTGTTAGAAACCTAAAATTTGCTCAGTCGAATAGAGTAAAAGTAATAAAAAAAAGTAAAAAAATATAGTAAAAATAATAATAAAAAAACAAATAAATCAGGTAAGTGGATGTCGCTCTGCTGTACAGTAGTTACAAGTGGGTCAATGTATAATGGATTGTATTAAACTTGAATAATTCAATGATATAATATCATTGGATAAGAAAAACGATTCTGAGCGGAGATGGTTTGTCAGTCTGGATTTGTTATGTTGTTATTATTTATTATATCATGTAAGTTGAATTAATATTATAATATTATTATTTTTTATTCGTTTCTATGGTGATAAACAAAGAATTAGAAATTAAAATCCCATTTTTAGATGTTTTTTGTAATTGGTGGGTAGATTTTTCCGTGACATTAAATAAATAAATAACTATTAAGAAAATCGAAAAATGACCTTTCTAAAGTACCATCTTGATCCAATTTGCTAAAATATAAGGTACTATATATTAAAATCAAAGAACTCCTTCTGGTAGAAATTTTTTATACAGGAAAAAAAAAAGTAAACACCGTTGTAAAACCACTAGCTTTCTCGCTATGCTCAAAATCTAAAATTTGAATTTTTAATATTTTATTCAGTATTTAATTATTATAATTATGTACTTGATAGTGGAACGTAGGTATCCTTTGTACGTTTTTCCAACCTTCCTTCAATGGTTTCTTGAACATTATGCACTGTAGTTTGTGCTGACATATTAATTGTTATATTCAAAAATTTATTTTTATCTAAACCTTCCAATGCTTTTTGAACAGTCAACGTTTTTCCAGTGCCAACTGGACCAACTAATAATACGGGCCTTTTTTTACTTAAGAACGCTTCTACAAGATAGTTGTAACGAACGGTGTCAATTGTAGGTACGATAATTTTGAAAAAAGGTAACCTGTAAATGATAAGATTAAGCAGATGCATATAAAAAATGATGTGATGTATACTCTGTTTTGTATATCCAAGAACTATCACGCAAAAAGTTATCCCAGTGATAAAATTGAGCAGTTTTCGTATCAACATAATAGTGATAAACTGTATCACTTATTGGAAATACTACTTCCTTTTCTCTAAAAAAATTGTCAATTTTTTTACGTCCATCTTCATTAACTACTGCACAAATGGACCAAACCACACTATAAAATTATTTTTTGAATAATCGTATTTTAATGGTTTTAATTATTATTCGTATCAGTTGTTACCAAAAGAGAAACCATAATTTAATAAGATGATCGTAGTCATCGGATTTTAATCCAGTGGGCATTTTAATAGCTAAATCATTAAATGTAAAACATTCTAGCAATGTGCATAACGTAATAATAGAACTCAATTCGGGTAAAGGAATAGTTTCAACGCAGTTTAACTTTTTAAATTCTAGCACGGCAGTAACATATTTGTCAAAATTTTTTTCTATCTAAAAATATTAATTTCTTTGTTAATTATTATGTATGTTTAAGACAATGATTCACTAGATACTGACATTAATTTTGTATGGTTCAAATTCACAGTTAGTCAACCATGATTTGTAATACAATTTCCAACCAAAATCTTTATAATCATTGTACACGATACCACATCTAGAAACAGTCGCTGGAGATGCAGCAGCTAAGTCTTCTACTTCAAAAAGAAGGGATACCTAATTTAAATAGTCAGTATGGCATGTCTCCCAATATATTTTCTACAATTTGTATAGTATAAAGTTATTAAAATCGTTTTACCTGTTCAGGCATTGTAATCCGCTCGCTATTAATTAGCGTTAATACTTTGTTGTCGTCCATTACTGAATTCATATTTTCTATCCAAAGTGCATCAACTGGGCCGTCGAAAAGTATCCATTTTTGATTCAATTGAAGGTCTATAAGATTGTTAAAATATATATAAATATATGTTAAATGAAATGAACAAAGTTAAAGGTTAAATAATAACGTTTTTTTAAGGAGTAAATACAATTTGTTACAATCAATTCAATTGATAAGATTTCAAAGTTTGTATTTTAAAAATGTTAACAACCTGAACAAACTGTACGCATCAGAGATGACAATACACCATCCTTCCATTCTTGAGTAGAAGCATTATATTCTCCATATAGCTCACCAAGAGTAAGCGATTTTGGATTTAAAGGATATTCCTATAATATAATTTAAATAATACATTAACATATTATACAAAAAGGAATTTTAAATTTTGAAAATGAATTCAAAATTGTACTGCCATCGAATATGAAATTATTTTATTTTATATTTTATGTTTTTGATTGACTTAATTTTAATTTATGAAGATTTTACTACATATATTATGATTATAAAATTGTGTATCATATAAGAGTAACCAAAGCCCTTGAATGGTATTCGTTGAGTACTGTTAAATTTCATTCATCATTCGTCACCGATGATCGTCTGAAAAATTGCTTTACCGTATTTTATTTTAATAAAATTAAAAATAGACGGTTTTTGGAGTAATAAAGAGACGCTTGTCTGAGTACGGAGGTTACTATTATATGATTCAATGTATCCTAAGTAGTATAGTAAACTCATACCTAAGTTAATTTTTAAGATGTTTCATTTCAATTTTGTTTTAAATATAACTGTAGACTTACAGTGGCTGTTTCAAATAGTTCAACCTTTTCATTATTTAATAATGCCATTGCTTCTTTTAGAGTTTTCCATGTAGCAGTTTTTGCGGCTCCAGTGTGCCCCAATAGCATAACAGAATGCCTAGAAATTTTGGTTTCGTACAACTGAATAATTTTTGCAATAGCAGATTCTGATGGTTGATGGTTTTTATTCGCCATACATTGCTTTATTGCACGAATGAGTATGTCATTTTTAACTTCTGGTAGAGTTATACTGGGAAATAAATCTTTCGCGATGCCCAAAAATATTGGAAGATCATCGACTGTAAGTTTTGCTAAATTCATGTTATGCATTGCCAGTAATAGTACCTGATTTCATATTTTTACATTATAATTAGCAACAAGTTTATTTATTTACTTATTAAAGATTTATAATTAATTATATAGAAGTGATTCATACCTCGTCATCCAACATATGTGAATTTTGTCGTCTACATTGCCCAGCATACCTTATTAATGAAACCAAACCTCGAAGTCCAAATTCATAATGATCTTGTTTGCTGAGTTTTTGTTTACACAACACGAATAAAACGAATACTTTGTTTGCTAAAATTCTGGTTTCTCTAAAACCTTCTCCAAACAACATAATCTCGGCAATGAGTTTGCTATCAGGAACCATCATGGATATGGCACGGAACATGGACTTTAAATTGTCTGGTAGTTCTGTCCTACCAGCGTATCCAGGATTCATTGTTATAAAAATACCACATGTAGGTATGAGGTTTATCATTGAGCCTTCAAATATAAATTTATCTCTTTGAGCGGCGAGGGCAGAATATATAGACAGTATTTGTTGAGCTACGACTGACAATACTTCAATGTTTATACGATTGAATTCGTCAAAACAACCCCAAGCACCTTGTTGTGCAAGTCCTATTAGTAAAACACAGAAGTAAAATAAAGAATATAAATTAAGATAGATGCAGGATAAAAGCGAGACAAAACGTGGTGTAAATTTACCAGAAAACATGCGTCCCATGCTCTTATAATCCAATCCATCAGAGCAGTTTATTACAATGACATAATAAGCTAAATTCTTCCCTAAATCTTTTACAGTTTCAGTTTTTCCTGTACCCGCAGGTCCTTTTGGACTACCACCACGAAACAAATTAAGGGCCGTAGTCATTGTGATATAACATCGATCAGTCAAAGGCGTGATGACTAATCTCCCAGAATTACCTAAATACTCATAACCATAAGGTTGATTTGTATTTGTTTGCCTTATGACTAGTTCACTGTTGTTTTTATCCCAATAAAATCTTAACTGTGACATCCATTCAAAGTCGGTAACGTTCATACACCCTAAATATGATTCATCATACGAAGCAAAAATGTTCTTAACTGTTTAAATTTAATTTAAGATTTTTATAATAAATTTTACATACTAGAAGTATACATATGATCGACTACATCTCTAGCGTGTATTTCGATAGTGACCAATGAGACGATTTTTAATCGATCTATTTTGGACAAGTCCCCTCGAATAGCATCAGAAAACTTTAATAACATTTTTTTCTGTCGTTTTCTGAGTTTTTTTAATGGCTTACTGTTCCCAGTATGTTTGGATTGTAACAAAGCCAATGTACACTGAGCTGTCCATTGAATCTTAACATAGTAATGATGCTATACACTAAGCATTTTAAAAACAATAAGTGTTGTAATACATACTTGAGCCGATGTAATACATAACTGTCCCGGCCATTTTAATATCCATTTATCACGAGTCTTGAGATTTTTCTTCAACGCATCCAAAACATGTACTAACTTATATTTAAGTGTTTCTCGCATTATCGTTTCTACAGAATAAAAATGCAATTTTAATTATTGTGGATTAATTGAAATCAAGTTAAGACATTTACCAATATTGCTCATCCAAGTTTCTACAGGTCCAATACACTCGACTATACCTGTGAAAGGTATGTATTCTCCATCAGCCGAATACATTCCTACGGCCGAAGTGTCATTATCCTTTGAATTAAATTTATAATATCAGAACAAATTAACAAATTAACAAACATAATTAATATTTTACTTACTGAGAGTTCTAGTTTGTTAATATTGTCAAAACATTTTTTAAAATGTGGCTGTAGACGTTTTGGATTATTTGAATGTACTAGTATATCTAATAAGTCGTCGTTGGATATAAAATAAAACCGAGGAAAGATGTTTCGCTTAGTCTCCATGTATAGTTCAAGTGCTCTCTGGGTTGCTTCTAATCGTGAGCTCATGGCTTGCAATTGTTTTAATAGAGCTAAATATAAATTAAAATACTTCAATAATAAACACTTATAAGTTTCAATGTATACTGTATAAAACGAGGTATACGTTTTGACCGAGTCGCCTTCAACAGATACTTGTCCGTATACATTTTTGATGTAATCTTTTTCCACTCTTTTGCTAATAAATCAAATTCATCTGCTTCCTTTGGGATTTGAGAACGTATTTCATCTCCTTTAAATATGTTCTAAGATGGTTGAAAGAATTAAAAACATAAATGTATAAATGATTAGGTATTGCTGACTTACCATTGCATACAAAAGTTGCCTTTGAACAGAAAGTGTTAATTCTAGAACATCTGTGACGAGGGAAATTCCTTTTGACCAATGATCAGCTTCTTTGAAAAATATAGAAATATATCTAAAAAAAAAAATTGTTGTTGATAAAAAAATTACAAAAATATTAGATAATTATTTTTACTTCGATCCTTTCATAGAATATAGTTGTACTAAATGTTCTTCCAACATTTGTAATACATCATCGGATACTGAAATACGATAAACATCTTCATCACTATAATATTTTATGTTTAACTCCATGTTGACCCATGTATCTGCTATTGATTTTATTGACTATGTGGAATCATAATTAGAGAAATATTAATTTTGTTTTAATATCGAGTATTGATTGACTTTACGTTTTCTATATTAAGTTCCATTGTTGCTTTATTTGAAATTTCATTTATTTGATTTCCATATTTCTGCATTTGCATTTGCATAATTAGTTCCAAAGTAAAACCGGGATCAGTTTCATCAAAATATCTATTGAAATGTTATCAACTTTTAAATGTGTAGATTTATTACAACTTAATATTATTATTATAATAATATTACAAGTTTACTAACTTATTCAACGCTTCTCGTACTTCATCCCAGTGCCGGTTGCGCATGGCTGTATTTTTCAAGTCACTAATAAGTGGTAAAACACGCCTAAAAGCGTCCAAGCTATCACGTTTGATTTCGAGCATTTTCCAACTTTCAACTTTTAGCAATTTCAATGAAGAAATTAACCTTTTGTTAATGTTTTGTACAGTTACTTCTATTTCAGGTACTTTGATCTCCCAGAAGTTTGCAGATTTATATTTATCCCACGTAGTGTCCCAATCATAAGCAATTTTAAAAGTTTGAAGCAATAAAACCATTTCCTAAGAGTAATACATACAATATATTATATTTTTAATTTTATAACGAATCTTATAAAATTAAGGAATGCATTTTAATAGTTTTCGTTTTATAATTTTTCTTGTATATGATTTTATTCTACACCCTATATATTTTAATTATACAGTTTAAATATATTTTGAACACAAAATTATGTTCATATAATATGTTAATGACATCTATATGTGAGTTATATACATAATATAAATATTATATATATGTAAATAAATTCTCGAGGTTATAACTTATAAATACTTAATCAAATTAAAATCAATAAGGTATAGTAAGTTATATTATATTTAGTATTTATCTTACTTTTTTGATATTAAGTTGTGGTGGCTTCACATATTTCAAATTAAATATTTCAAGATTATGTTTCAATTGTTTTTCGTCTTCTTTTAATTTTTGGTATTTGTTTTCCATTATAGACATATACTCTAAAGCAACTGAAATGTAATATACAATAATTAATATATTATAATATTACATTTTAGCATATTTAGTCCAAAAATAATCTGGTTACTTATTTAAATATACAACAATATACCTATAAAAAAAAATCAGGAAAGTCGATATGCTGTATATTAGGTGTCCGGTTTACATCGTTATTGAGAAGGATACTCTATAAGTTGAGACTAATAATATAATGTCCAAAAAATAATTCGATAAGATAGAAAAACAAATTAGAAATCCTATTTAGGATGATATAATGAAACATTAAATATTTTTTTCACAAGATTTTTATATATTGATTGCAAAATTTTTTTTCGGAGGTGCAAAATTTGTCTAAACAATAGGTACAACAAAAAAGTCAAAAATTGCAAATGTCTATAAATAGTTAAAAAAAAAAAAAAACTGAAATATTACAATGTCAATGGAAATGATAACACAATGATTTTTTGAAAACTTAGAATTAAGATATACAACTAAATCGAATTTGGTGAAAACTGGTTTGTGTAAATATTCCTGATTCTTCATCATTTGTTTTGGTTTATCATAATATTTTAAAAAGCGCATAGAAATATATTTTACTTCAAGTATAATATAAAAAATGTATAATACTAATAGTAGGTACTTTTAAAATGAAAAATGTTGAACATCCAATGTTGAACATCCACTTTAATTCTACTATGAATATAAAGTGTTTGACACAAAATAATTTGTATCACTGCTAAATTATTGTGAAATCAGTTAATTTATCTCTCGTCATAGAATCTCAAACAAAAATAAGGCAATTAAAAACGAATTCGTGAATATCTTGTATATTTTATTATTTTTGGTACCTAGGTATCGGATATTGCATATTCATTTTATAAGTATCAATATTATGAACTATGATTTAATACGTGGTATTTATACGAGGTTGAAGCATTTATTAACAATAATATGGAAATAGACTATTATTGATATGGTTTTTACGAACCAGACAAGGTCAACTCTACATTTTTAGATTGGGTTTCTTTAAATTCTTCCCAAATTTTCTTAAAATCTTCAATATTTTGTTTGAAGATTTCTTGCTCTTGTAATACCATATCATGGAATTCGTCTTTTTTCTCATTCAACATTAGTTCCGCCTCGTTTAATAAGAGCGTATAACTATTCCACGAATTATGCAAATTATTGTACAAGCTGCGTAATGCATCTGACATTTGTATTTCATGTTTGTCTATAAAGTTTAAATATAACTAAGACGCTCCATAAAAAAATTAATTATAGGCACATATCACATCTAATCGAAAACTTACCTAAAACAACAACATTTTCAGCAATCAAATTGATCTCTTCCTTTTTTGCACTACACTCTAGATCAATTCCTTTTTTATATTCAATAAATTTGACCATTTCGTCCAGGTTTGGCGGTGGTATCATCACTCTATTACATTTAAAGAAAGTATTTCGTTTTATTTTATTTGACTTACATTGTACAGTAACGTTTTGTTTTAGACTCACCGTTTACCATTATTATCTATGTATTCATAAAATCCTTCGATAAGAGCAACCGTTTCATTTAAAAGTGCCTGGGAATAATTTGAAATCCAATCTTGACAGTGTCTTACAACTTGCTTTATCATATCACTGCTTCTAATAATAATACTGGATACTATAGATTCGGTCTCCATCTCATTTAACACATTTATATAATTGAGGTACCTACAAATAGATTTAAGAAAATTATCATAAGCAATGTTTTTCATTTATATGTGGCTTGTCGTACAACATAATTTTGTTATCAATTGATTCTGCGTTATGTGCCATCGAATCAAATGTAATTAATTGCTCTTGTTTGTCCAGGGTCCAAATATCACTAAACTTCATTAAGTTTTTCATATATGTATTTATATTTATCAATATATCCTTCGTTGCTAAATAAAACACAAGAATAATTAATATTGACTAATTTAATTTGCTTAACTGACATTAAAATAAACAAAGCTGAATTAAAAAATTTAATTAAAAAAAAAAATTCTCAGCGGGTTTTCATTACAGTTTTTTTTCTGAGTTATAGTAAAATGATTGGTTATTTGAATATAATTATCAGGTAATGTCTAACAAATGTTACGAGCTTATGATATTACAGTGAAATATTCAAATATTGTGTCGTAGATTAAAATTGTAGTTAGGCTTGTCTGATGGAATAATAAATGTATTTTCTGATATAAACATACTGAGATCGATCTCCGTCTGCAAATCAGAGCACAACCGGTCATGGGCGATCGCATAGCTGTATGGCATCAAATTAAGGTTTGTCATTTTGAATGTATCACACAACCTGGGTATGACTTTTAATGCTGTTGCCATATCCAAAAGTAGCTTCATGGAATATACCACTAGTTGTATTAAACTTGGATTGTATTTAATCTGTCAAAAATCATATCGATTGATAAGTTGTGATCAAAAATGTTATAACAACAATAAAGTTTCAATCAATCTTACTTTACTGCCATGTAAACTGACGTTAATCAAAAACACGGTATCATTTCGTTGTGCCAAATTATTTTTCATCGACCATCTTACATTGAGAACTAATGATTCATGTATGAGAGTATCAATTTTGACTAGGTAGTGTTCCCAATATAACATCATCTATTTAAATTTATTTTATTTAAAGAACATATTTATATTTTATATTCATATACTATTTTGATACCTATGTACCTAATCAATTATATATTTATTTATTTTAGATAATCAATTAGTTTAAAAATGTTCAGTTGACTAATGATTATTTCAATACACCTATTCTTAATTTGTAAAAAGCTAACATAATATTTTACGACAATTTTACATACACGCCTTATATTTTTTTCAAATTGTTCATACACAACCGTCACGTATCTTATGATTTCATTATAATAGGCGATAATTTTGATGACTGAAGTCCTATTACTAATGAAAGAAATATTGTATGAAGTGTATTTATTATAATATAATATAGGCACATTTTAAAAAACTTAAAATCAAACCTGAAATTATCCGTACTATGGTTCAAACCTTTTATCTTTATAAGTTCAAGTTCATTGCCAAATAACGGCGTATTAGATATTTGTAGACATATTTCCATTATTTCAGTATTGCATTTCTTATAGCAATTTTCGATGTCTTGCACCTAACCATTTTTGATAAGAAAAATATTTTAAAAAACTTCTCTAATCAACGTTACTCAAATAAGACTTAACTGATTCCAATTGTTGATAACATTGGGGAAGATATTTATTAACATGTTCCGTTTGAGCCCAAGTATATTTATAAACCAACGGATCTATTGTTTTAATACATACATGCATTGTTTCATAAAACAGTTGTACTTCTTGTTTAGATAAGCCTGTGTAAAACACATATAACTCTTACATTAATTTACCACGTACAATATTATCGACCACAATGATAAAAGTACCCGCGATAATGTAATTGTAGTTCTTGAGAACCATTGTCGCGTTTTTATATACATTTCTTATATTTCGAGCGATTTTGGTAAATTCTGAGTACTCATATGGCATCGATACTTTGATCAACTTCCAACAAATTATTTCCTCAGTCAAATCATAGAAGTTACTTTACATAAAAACAAGATAATTTGTACATTTTAAATGCATGTCAATTAATAATAAATATAGTAAATTAATATAGACACCTCTTCAGATCTAAAGTATATTTCATACAACGGTTGGGCAATTGATATTTTGTCAAAATGTGGTTATCCAGTTGATTTTCGATTTCTGGATCAATTTGATTCCACCAGACGCTAAATGAATTCTTAAGCATTCGATGATAAAGATCTACGTAAGAAGCATACGCCTCCCGTAATTGTTTAGTGAGAGAACATGTCAATAACCAAGGCCGGTCGAAGATTGCCTATTTTAAAACGTCCAGCAGTGTTGTAAAGTATATTTTGAAAATGTATTTAAAAAAGAACTTATTGGATACTATTTTGGCTAATCAACTAATGTTTGTACGATAATAATCAGTCTATAAATTACATTTTTTATTATTGTTATATTGTTGTACTGGATGACGGCCATCATGCAAATACCTGAGTATTTTGGCAAATAATAAGGTATCAAGTACTTATTGTTATGAAACATATCCATCACCGATGCAATGTAGTCCATTAAAAATGTATAAATTACTTTAGTCTTTATACGGAAATAATACTTAAGTGGCTGCCATTCGATGAAATATCGTAAACCCTGTAATATTTTTATACAGTCAATTTCATTGCAGGCTGTTTCCAACGCCATGTCAGTTAGCTGTTCGATTTTTAAACATAATTGTTTGATTTCATTTTGAAATCTATAATTAAATAATCAATACTTAGTTTTCTTGTTTTATTTTAATAAAATATGTTAAAGTCAATTTTTAAATGGTTAATTTTTGTCACAAGCTTGTGTGTACCTACTATGTGTAATAATAAAATTCGATCGATATCTATTAATGCCAAAAATGGTTCAACTTTTCATCGACAATATGTAAGTACTTATAAAATAATATATTTACTAAGCATTAAAATGGTTTAATGCGATTTTTGTTATTTATAGTAGGTACCTACACGTATAGCTTATCAATCGTTAATTACTTCTTAATATGGTAAACCCAAACATCGTCAAGCACGTTGAATATGTTTACTAAAGGATTTTTCAAGTCATAGATAATGATATCGAAATCATGTTCGTTATCATCCACAAATTTCACAAAATATTCTCCTGGAGTGAACGAAAAATTTGGTTTCAATACATCAAGATTGTATACGTTCAACCTGTTAATTGTTTTGTTAAAAGTAGTTACTAAGTAACCTCAACCTACAATCAGTACTGTAAGCCGTAACTATAATATAGTTATAGGTACCTTTTAAATACAATTTTTGATTTCAAAATATATTTTAAATGTTTGCAGCGATCAATAAATTTGTACACAGGTTTAGCTTTCACCCATAAGTGATCTTTATCTTTATCTTGATTATTATACATTTTTATCACCTAGGCACACATCAAAACTCTCATTATCTCAAAACTATCGGTTGTAAATAAATCAATTGTTACTTCAGAATAAATAGATATGAAATGTTGACAACACAGTAAACACTTGTAAAGTAAATCCATTAATATCTTTATGTCACTCTCAAGTATAGTGCTGGTGTCAATAGTTTTCCGGCATAAAAATAATATTTGATTACACAGACAACCGCACAAATAGTCGAAATCATATCTAAATTCAATTAAAAATTTATCACATTAGTATATAATTATAATTTATAAAGTATCTGTTTAGAAAATTAGAATGTGCATTACATATTATTATAATAAAGGGATTCTTCATATATGAAAATGAACTGTAAAAATAAATTCGGTAATATGGGTAAGATGTCGTTCAGGGATTCAATGTCATACATATCTATACATGTATCTTTAAGGGTCTGTAAGTAGTTAAGGTTTGATCTCGTTTCGGTTAATGACTCCTGTAACATTCACAAATATAAAAATGTTTGTAAAATATTCGACATGCGTATTACATTATTTAGACGTATAGTATTTCAACAGAATAGTGTATTACTGTAGGTAACAAGATAAAGGCGATTAGAAAATTACCAAACCAAAAAATAAATAAATATCGCAAAGTAGGCATAAAGAAAAATCAGATGTTTTGATGTTTAAAGAATATTTTTAACACAAATTTACAGTTTTTAATAAAATGCATTCAAGGTTAATGATGGTTCCAAATTAAAATATTTATAAAAGTTGGTAATTATTTTGGTATTGAAGCGAAGTTTAAAATAATTTTACTGTGGACCATAATTTATTATGAATTGTTAAAAAGAAAAAGAAAATATAGGAATATTATGATGTTATTATTTATTAAATGTTAAACTCATGATATCACCATAATTATTAACAGAATGCCCACTTACGATCCTCCGGCATTGTACATATTTGGAAATAATCAAAATCATATTATTATGTCTACGATCCAATGTGTCGGTAAAAACGGGATTGATGTGATGTGAGAAATAGTTGGTCGGTTCTCGCTGTAGCATAGGAATGACGCAACATTTCGAAAAATTTCAATATACACGACACACGAGACGCAAGAACTAGATTTATTGAATTCCACTGTTCAAGTGAGCGATATTACGATTCATATTTTACCCAAAGCA